GTCCAAGAAGCGCAAGTCCTGGGGTCAGGTCCTTCCGAGCCCAAGACACTTGCCGCCCAGGTACGTCAATCGACCAGATAAGAATTAGGAACTTATCGTTAACATCCCTGCAGGAAACGAGCCAAGACTGAGGATGAGAAGGAGCAGCGTCGTGTGGAACGCGTTCTGCGCAACCGCCGTGCTGCCCAGTCTTCGAGGGAGCGCAAGAGGCTCGAGGTTGAGGCCCTCGAGATGAAGAACAAGGAGCTCGAGACTGCCCTGAACCACGCACAACAGGCGAACGCTAGGTTGATGGAGGAGCTTACCAAGTTCCGCCGTGGTTCCGGTGCCGTCGCCCGTTCTTCTTCCCCCTTTGACTCCTTCCACAACAGCAACTCGGTCACCCTCTCCCCCGAGCTGTTCGGCTCTCAAGACGGCCGCCGGCCATCAGTGGCCGACTCCGAGTCGACACTCGTCGACGGTTTGATGGCGGCCTCCAAGTCCGCCGCGACCGTCAACCCCGCCTCCCTCTCGCCCGCCCTCACCCCCGTCCCCGAGACGGATGAGACCAGCGCCCAACAAGAAGCTGCCGTGGCCGCCCCTTCCCCTGTCGCCCTTTCCTCCGACGTGACACAACGTCCTGCAGTGATGTTGTTCGACCTGCCGTGTCGGTCGGAGGAAATGCCTCAGTCGTGGGTGGCCTCGCAGACTTCCCTGCACCCAACATGGACTTTGTACCTTCAGCTTCAGATGCTCATGATCACTTCCTCGGCGGTCATTTCAGCGTGTCAGAGGCCTTTGATGCAGATCGCTATGTCCTTGAGAGCGGGCTTCTCTCTTCCCCCAACTCAGTCGATTATGACAACGATATTATGGCTGGTGACTCGTCCGCGTTCGCATCCGCGTTCAACTTCGACATGGACGAGTTCCTCAACGATGAGGCCAGCGCAGCCGCCACTGACGCGTCAGCAGCGGAGAACAGCGCAGCGGACCCGGACTACGGCCGCCGTGCCCTTAACCCTGAGACTCAAGTCTCTTCAGAAAATCCTAACCTGCAGCCCCAATCTGGCGCGTCCACTTATGGATGCGACGATGGAGGCATTGCGGTTGGTGTCTGAGGGCTGTGAGAATCGGGTGGGGGGTACGGACGTCGGAGCACCGGTGACGCGCGACAGTTCCCGCGAGCCGCACACGTGGTTCAATGGCGGCGCGTTGCCCTCTAAAGAGGTACTCCTCACGCTTCTTTGGACCCTTCGGGTCGAAGAGCGCAAGATGATCCAACAAGGGATACTACCCAACCTCCATCCCGAGACGAACACCCACACATCAGCCAGCCTATTTAACTCGACAACAACCACGTCTGTCAAGAAGAGACAGGGCGATGCGTTGGTAGACGGTGGAGAGAAACGAGTGCGCTTTCGCTGATTTGATTTTTATCATGATGACGGCGGGTTCAGACAAAACTGGGAATTTTTGTATGGTCCAATGGCGCAACGGTAGCCTCCTTAAGGAGCGGTCAAACAATGGCCCGGGCCTGTAACAATATAACGAATTGAAATTTTGAGAACACAAATCATGCTCTTCGCCAGTGACTGAGTACGACTTGCAACCATGCAATAGCTAGAAATAAATCATACTTCATATGTGTGCGCCGAACGCCTTGACCCTCCTGACCTCGTGATATTTTGAAAGCAACCTACTCGAGTGAAACATGGTACGAGTCCCTCACCACAGCCCGTCCATCTCAGCCATTGCGGCTTCGTCATCTTCATAATCGTTGACCGCGGGCGCCACCTTTCCCTCGGGCTCCCGTCTCGGGCCCGTCTCTGCTTCCGCCTCCGCCATGAGCGCCTCGAGGTCGTCCTCATCATCCGGGTCCGCAGGCCTCGGCACGCTCGTTGTGCCAGCAGCCGTCCTCTTGGGCGTCGCACCGTAGAGATCCGCCTCGTCCGGTACGTCGTCTTCGTCCAGCGCCATCGGCGTCTTGGGTCTCGTGTTCGCCGCCGTCATCTCTGCGCGCCCGTTTCTCTGCGCCATCGCCTCGCCGCCCGTGTCGTCGCCATGCTGCCTCGGCCCCTCGTCCGCGCGGGGCTTCTCGTCCTCGTCGTCCGCCGCCGCCGAGGCGCGCGGCTTGAGCTCGTCGATCCACTCGATTCTCTTGCTCTGCAGCGTGCGCTTGTGGCCTGCCTTCTCGACCATGGCGAGGCCGTCGAGGAACTTCGCCTTGGGGAAGAGGTCGTCGAGCCAGAACTGGTAAAAGGTGAGCAGCCGCGCTGCGTCGGAGAACTAGCACGCCAACAGTCAGCCTTCTTGTCTCGAATCTTGGGCCTTCCCCCTGCCCCCTCGTTGCCGGGATGCTGACACCGTGTCGCACGAGGGACAGTGCGCCCAAGGAGGAAGGGAAGCGGAGGGGCCAACGCACTTCGTGGCCTTTGCCCTTGAGCTTCAGGTCGGCGGCGCGCCGGCGCAGCTTAGGGATGCCATCTTCTGAGAGGAGACGGGTCTCGTCGAGCTTGATGCGGGGTACGCGGGCGCGCTTGGCGACGTCGACCTCCTCGTCAAGGCCAAGGCCGTCGATCTTGCGCTTCTGGGAGGAGCCGTTCTGGGTTTGAGCCTGCGGTTGAGGGCTGGGGGAGCGGAACGGGTCGTCAAAGTCGTCAATGTCGTAGTTGTCGAGATCGTCGAGGGGTGGTGCTGTTGTGCCTGGCGCCATATCGGGCAACTGTGTTTTCGAGTGGGTATGCCTTATGGTGTCGTGGTTTGTGCAGCGAGAGTCACGTAGACCAAGGTGACGAGGGGCCGCAATTCTCACGAGCTGACGTCTGGCCGTGATCTCGAGACGCGCCTGGGTTAATTGATTTGGAGCTGGACGCGTTCTGGAGTTGGTGGCCCGGCGGCAGCTGGCATCTGGCAAGAGCAACCCACTTTGCCGGAGGTACGTACCGCGAAGTCGAGCATATGAAGCCTCAGGCAGAACTTTGCATCTTCAACGTCCAGTGTCTGTGAAGCACCTCTAATCTTCGCCAATTCCACGATCCAAGGTCGCTCTAGAGGCATCACCCAGGCGAACCGACGACCGCAACCATGTCGAACACGCAGACCGCCACCTTTATCCCCTCAAAGCCCGTCCCGAGCGACTACCCGGTGCGTCCCTGTCCGTCAATGGCTCTCACCAATTGCAGTCGAGCTAATACTTCTGACCCATCCAGCTCATCGACAACGACCCGTGAGAACATGCCGTCTCCGATCCGACCCCTCTGCCCTCGAGGACCCAATTGCTGATGTAGGAATCTCTCACGATCAGGCACTTCAAGCGCGTCATCGGCTATGCCCGTCCCTCCGACTACGCCCATGGCGTCGTAGCCGCCGCCTTTGCCCCCGCGGCCCTCCTCACCCTTGAGCGCTTCGCGCCTTCGCACGTCGGCAAGGGCGGTTTCGCCCCAGCCCTTCGCCTGGCCGGCGCCATTGGCCTGGCCGGTGGCTTCCTCTACTTCTACCAGCGCTCCAGCCGTGCGTTTCCCCCCTCTTCCTGTCTTCCCGAGCCCTACATTTGCGCGAGGGACACACACCTCAGAGTTGAAGATGAAGAAAAAGAAAAGGAAAGGGAAAAGGATGCTAACTACCCGATCAGTTCGCTTCTACGGCGCCACCGAGAACGCCCGCGAGATCGACCTCGACATGAAGGAGATGGTGGCCAAGGTCAAGGCCGGCGAGCCCCTCTACGGCGAGAGCCGCCTGACGCCGCACATGCAGGGCGTCGCGGCGCGGCAGTCGCGCTACTCGGCGCTCTTCATGGGCGTCCTGCCCTGGTTCAACTTTGTCAACCATAACCAGCACGGCGTCGACACGGCCAAGTACTACCGCCAGGCCGAGAGGGAGCTCGAGGCCGAGAGGCAAGGGAAGCAGGCGTAAGCTTGCATGTGTTGTGGAGAGGAAAGGGGGGAGCGGGCAGCAGCGGGGATGTTGTAGGATGGAGGTTACCCGATATGTGTATAAAGAGGAAGACGGATAGAAGCGGGCTGTCACCCGAGCAATGATTTTTCTTTTTCACTTGACGGTCGACTTGTGCGAGGGTTCCCTGTTGCGTATAAAGCCGATGTCTTCCTGTTGCCGTGATATCGCTGCCCCGGATGTCACGACGCCGGCTTGATGACGAGGTCTGTGAAAACCCGCTGTCGTAAGCTTCCGTAATCGTCTTAATACGTTCATGTCCACTGACAGCAACCAGACAGAGCTTCGTGCACTCGTTGTGAGGTTAAGAGCTTCTTGAGGCACATGTCTCATCCTCTGCACGTCTTCAATGCTGTCTCATGAATTCACTGGACGGTGTAGGGTTAGCTCATCTTGACAGGCTTGCACAACTTCACTTCCGGAAGAAACCCAAGCCCTCATAGGCGTTTGTCTGATGCGACCCAACACATAGAGGCCGCGAAACTGGCATCCTGCACCCTCTTGCCGTTGCTCTTACACTTTGTGCTACGAGACAGCTTATCTGAACCGGAAACCAGCCTTGTTCAGCTGGAAATGTCATTCCGAGCACAAGGAAGATGACACGCGTCAAATAGACTTTCAAGAGAATTGCATATAGCTACCATTTCAGCTCTGAACAACCCGAAAATGGAAATGAATACTAAAGGAGATACCATATTTTCGTTCTGCTGCGATCACTCTGGTATTTTATGATTGTCCTTCCAGCACTTACCATCGTCGTTCCTTCACAGTAGTGGAATTGCGCCATCATGCTCTATAAACTACCGAAGAGAAGATATAGTACAATAAGCTGCATTTCGAACCAGCCCGACGAGAGTTGACTAGTCTGGCTGAACATGCTACTACCAGCGACTCATTGAGATTATCTGTGGAATCTTACGAATCGGCACTCTAAGCGGGCAGAGCCTCGCCGTTGGTAATATAGTTACGATACCGCACAACATGGCCCCCGGAACATTTGATGTTAAAGCGATTGTCCTCGCCCTCTTCAGGTCCTTGCCTCATCCTCGAGAGACTTGGTACTTGCGTCTCTTGTGATAACACCTCCATTGAAAAGGGGTCTAAAAGCCCCAGACCGAGAAATTCCACGGCAACCGGCTTCGCCTTCGGAAGCGTTTGCTGTCCGCCCCGTACCCTCATGTCCCCATCGTGGCCCCGTCAGGACCCATCCCACACCAACTCTCGAAGATATATACCTCAACCCTCACAGCCCCGCCACCTCGGTTCGGTGGTGTAGTTGGTTTATCACGTCAGTCTAACATCCAGAATCGTCTGCGATTGTGGGTTTCACTGAAGGTCGGGAGTTCGAGCCTCCCCTGAATCACTTTTGCCAGCGTCGGCTCCTCTACCACTAACCACATGCCTTCCACGCAGGTGAGCGATTATGCTTGTCGCCAAGGAAGCATAACCTATGTCTTTTGCCGCAGGTTCGTACGACATGTGATAGGCGTTCTCTTGCTCACTCTCCGGGCCACCTCCTATAATGATCATCCTGGGCTAGGTTTTGGTGCGATTTGCAGCACTGCGATCCTCCAGGCCCGGAAATCCCGGCACCATCTGTCCGCCGGATACCTTCAGGTCTTCCGAATGAAATGGACTTCTCATCAAGCCAGCAACATCTAAAAGCATCAGCCGAAGCAGGCGAATTCCACAGCTAAACATTCCCAGCAATGGCCTGTCGATCTAAGTTAAACCCACACAGCATAAAAACCTCATGCAAACACAATTGTGGTCACACGTGCAGAAAGAAAAGAGCTGCACAGATTTTGAGGCAGTCTTCCGGCTTGGCAGAACGCACCTCAACTGAACGAGAGAAACAGGGTTTATACAAGATACAAGATAGGGCCTTCGCCCCTACTATTCATTTTCAACTAAACATAGCCCATACATAGAGCAATGTACCCATCCATATGAGACTCTCCAATACATTACTCCCCTGCAATACGTGTGTGAAGCCCAGTTCTTTTAGGCGCTCTTCTCGCGATCAACCTTGTCCTGCTGGACAATATGTGGCTGCGGCTGCGCGGGCGCAGGCGTCTCGCCAACCCTCTTCTCTTCACCCATCAGAATAGATCCGCCATGCTCCGAGCTCGTCGTGCGGTCCTCGTATTGCGCTCCCTTGAAAGGAGCAACGGGTTCACCAGCGGGGGCAGCAACTGCGGCGGGAGCTGTGTTGGACTCGTTGTCGCCAGGGTAGGGGCGCCAGAAGTCCTTCTTGCCCTTGAACAGACGGACGATCCAGCCAGGCAGGAGACCGCCAGGAATGTGCCAGGTCCAGGGATCCTTCTGGTCCTTGTTGTGAGGAACGAGACGGCCGCCCGTCGCGAGGCCGATCAGAAGGATCATCGTGTTGATGAGGATGTAGCTGCAGACACCGGCAATCAGACCGTCCGCAATGGAGTAGGTAAAGGGCATGATAGCGATGGTGAGGAAGGCAGGAATCGAGTCGCCAGGGTAACCCCAGTTGATCTCTGTCACAGCTCGCATCATCATGGAGCCAACGAGGATGAGCACGCAGCCCGTGGCCCAGGGAGGAATAGAGGCGAAGATGGGCGCAAAGAAGAGGGAGATGAAGAAGCAGAAGCCGGTCGTCATGGCAGTGATGCCCGTCTTGCCGCCCTCGGAAATACCGGCGCCGGATTCGATGAATGCTGTGACAGGTGAGGTGCCAAAGATGGAGCCGATGGAGATGCTAAGAGCGTCAACCATGTAAGCGACGGCGGAGCCCTCGAAATCTTGGGTGCGCTCGTCAATCAGGTCGGCGAAGCGAGCCATCGAGTAGAGAGTGCCAGTACAGTCGAGAATGTCGACGTAGGTGAATGTGATGAGAGCGAGAGCAAATTGGCCGCCGTGTCCAGAGATATCCCACTGTTGAACGTTGAGGGTGCGCTGGATGGGGTGGAAGTCGACGACCTTCTTGAAGAACTCAAAATTGCTGTCGCCAAGCTCGGTGTAAGGGAAGTTGGTGACCGGGGTGCCGCGGGGCCACGAGATGATACTGACAAGCAAGATGCCAATCAGGATGGCACCCTTGACGCGGAACATCTGGAGGAAGACGGTAAGAAAACCACCGCAGAAGATTCCAACCCACATTGTGGGGTTACGCATCTTGTGAGACGAAGGGCAAGTGCCATCCTCCAGGCGCGTCGATGGCGGGCAGCCAGCGAGCGCAACGGGCGTAGCAGTGGAGCCGGTGATGAGACCGATACCCTCGCCGTAGGTCAGACCGATGAGTGTCAGAAAAAGGCCAATACCGACGCCAGTGGCGAGCTTGATGGATCTGGGAATAGCACGGGCGAGCCACTGGCGGAGGCCGAGGACGGCGAGACCGAAGAAGATGAAGCCCTCGATGAAGATGGCTGTCATGGCGACTTCGTAAGGCACACGACCAGTTCCGTTGAAGCCAACAACGTCGTAGGCAAGGTAGGCGTTGAGACCCATGCCGCAGCTAATACCAACAGGCCTTTCTCGGGTGTGAGTGTGGGACTCCTCCATGGCATTTGGGGCTGGCGCCTGGAGAGACTTACATGTTGGCAAAAAGGCCGAGACAGAAGGTGCTCAGGTGCTCAGGGCAGAGATGGCAGGGCGGGTGACTAGGTTCCCCGCTGATCTCCGTCTTGCACAGGAGATACTCGGTGTTCTCAACACAGATGGGGTCGTCGGGTGTGCTGTTGCAGACACAGGTGCCGCCCGAGTCCGAGACAATAGACGAGTTGACGGCGAGAATATAGGCCATGGCGAAGAAGGTGACGAGGCCAGCACGTAGTTCGGTCAAGAACTTGGAGCCCTTCCGCTCCCTTGGCTATGGTTGCGCATCCCATGATCAGTCCCAGTCTCGGTGGGCAGTCTCAGCCCATCCGGAGGGTTCCAATATGACTTACATGACCGCAGCCATCAAGCTTAAACCAGCGACCAGCGCGGCTGCGCGCGACCTTGTTGTTGATTGTGTCGGTCCACGCCATATTGGCAGGGTATGAATAACGAAGCCGATGGTCGGATGAATGAACGAAGAAGATGAGGATCAAAGAGGCAGGGGTGTATCGCTGGCAAGGCGAAAGCTGCTCCCTCTAGTAGTGCGTCAAAAGTCGAAAATTGGGGATAGCGAAGCCTTAGGAGGAAAAAAAATTCTCCAAGTCGCTAGGCCAGATCTTGCCAATGATGGGTCCCTTGGGATGGCGTAACGGGGTCGCGGCAATGGAGGAAGGGGCGTCAAAAGTTGAGGCAGAAGAGTGCAGACAGTTCAGGCGCACACTGACTGTGGCAGGCAAACTGAGAGCAGTGTCGACGGTGCAAACGTCAACTACGGGCGGTCAGATTAAGAAAGTTGCGATCAGGGGAGGGGACCAACCTGGTGATATTTCAATGCGACAGTAGCAGCACGAACGCGACGGGGAGGCACGGCGGCGAAAAGGTTGTGTCAGGGCTCTTAGGGACAGCATCTGACAAGGGGCGTTATCTTTGCAGGCTCGACCTACTATTGGTGTAAATAAGTGATCATTAGCTAGATCCGTAGCTTGGGGCCTTGGGAAGGTGGGCGGGTGGGTTTTGGCGATGCAGGACCAGGGCGGGAATGGCCTTTCGGACTTGGGGATTGGCACGAGGAATCCATTCATGGATGGGGAGCCCTGTCGATGCCTGCATGTCGCATGTCGCATGTGTTGCTGCTGTTGCTCACTAACTAGCAACCAGGGGCACCAAGGAGGTGGAAGGCCAAGGATACGTTGATGGGGAGGACAGGCGATATCGCATCATCCTTGCCAGTCCCTGCTGTCCCTTGAGTGGGCTTGGGTGGGCTGGGCCCTGATTTGCCTGTACCTGCGGCAGAGAGTGCAATTGAGTAGTGGACGACGTACGATCCGAGGTTGTGCTGCTTCTCCGGCCTCCTGTCGTGAACTTATCGTGTTGCGTCGTGCTATGCGAGTGTTGGAGGGGGAGGGGGCGACAGACATCATGGCCACTGTTCAACAGGCGACTAGGAGGACTGCGAGAAGAACAGAAGGTTTCTGCTGCCGAAGTGTGGCGTCTCAAAACTTCAGCCTAGACGACCTTGGACTGCAGAA